GCCTGACGGGGGGGGGGGGGGGGGCGGGCGGTTCGTACACAAATTTTTAAATATGTCTAAAACCATGACTAATTTATAATTATACCCAAAAGCAAACGCAAAACATCTGCACACATACTTTAAGTTCAAGTAAAGTGTCTTTAAAAGTAACATTTAGGAAACCTCAACCTCTTTGGGGCCTGTAGGTGGTGTGGAGGTTAAGGGCTCTGGAGTCCTACATGACTGACCACGGTTCTAGACCTGGACCTGGTGGCTTACTTTCTCACTTTCACTTTCTCTCTCTCTCTCTCTCTCTCTCTTCCTCTCAGGTCAAATTAAAATATTTTTTTTTAAAAAAGGAAACCTCGACCTCTTTATCAGATTTCATGCCATATTAAGTATTAGGAGAGAAACAAAGAGTTTCAAGCAGTATGTGTGTGTGTGTGTGTGTGTGTGTATATATATATATATATATATGGTGCAGAAAACAAAACTCTTCTCAAATGAGGAGATGGGACCTAATAATCTTTCCACTCAGAAAGGGCATTTAAGCAATCAGTAAAGAGCATGGTCGCTGAAGATCACCACATTGTGCCCGAGCATCCTAGTGCTTCCTTGTGACACCCAATTCATTCATTGGAACACACACCTCGTCTTCACTACAGCTAGAGATCTTTCAGGAACTAACGTCAGGTGAACTGCCAGCTTCTAGAGCCTTCTTTTTCTTTTTGCCTGAAAACAACCTGAATGGAAAGCATATGTTCATTTTAGGAACTAATATCCCAAGACTAGTGACTACCACCTTGTATCATGTGGTAATATCTGTATAGTATTTTAATATGTCATCTCATTCAGACCTCATGAACTACAAAGTGGGTGTTTCTACTTGGTGGGCAAACGGAGGAGTCAGAGCTTGAACCCAGAATGTGAGACTCCACAACCAGCACTTGTTCTCCACTCCTCCCTGTCTCTTGAAGGCAGATGTTTTCATGAAAGCCCTGCATATCAATACCTTTAGCTTTCTAGATACATTGTTGGTGGGAATGTAAATCGGTCAAGATGCTGTGGAGAACAATATCCAGCCACTGTGGAGAATGATATGAAAGTTCCTCATAGACCTTTCAAATAGAACTACTATTTGATCTAGCAATTCTACGGACAGGAGAACATTCAGTCAGAAAAGTACTTACATTGCTATATTTATTGCGGCATTATTCACCATTGCTAAGACATAGAACCAACCCAAACATCCACAAACCGATGAATGGATTGAAAAAGTTTGGCACGTATACTCCATGGAATACTATTCAGCCATAAAAAACAGGGCCCTGGAATTTGATAGAAAGTGGACAAATATGGAAGATTTGTTGCTGAGTGAAATAAGTCAGACTATGAAAGAGAGACATTGTATATCTCCACTTAACATATATTGACTGTTTGCACTCTATGGTGGAGACTGAAAGACTGGAGGACATAAAAGCACTGAAAATTGTTATAAACTCTAGAGACAAAGTCAAAGGAGAATGTGGGAGGGGAAGACAATAGAAAAGGAAATTTGGGGGGAAAATAGAGAGGTAAGATATTTGTGGGACACAAATATGGTTTATTATCTATTGATGAGGATCTGTATAGTATTCACAGCTGGGCTGAACTGTGGTGTATATAATGCTGGATAAAGTCTCTCTACAATCTAAATGATGTATAGTGATTGGTTATACAAATACTACTAATAAATATTTTTAAAAGAAATTAAAATATGAAATAGAGACATTGTATATCTCCACTTAACATATATAGATTGTCTACACTATCCCACAGAGACTGAAAGACTGGAGGACATAAAAGCATTAAAAATTATTACAGCCACTGGGGACAATGTGGAGGGAGAGTGGGAGAGGGGAAGAGTGCAAAAGGGGAAATTTGGAAAAAATATGGAGAAGTAAGGCATTTGTGTTACACAGATATGGTTTGTTGCCTGTTGGTGATGTCATGTATAGTAGTATCACCTCGTTTGTTGTGTGGCATATATCATGTTGGGTAAAATCTCTTTACAAGCTAAATGATGTATAATGACCGAATGTATAAAGGTAATAAGTAATACTAAAAAAAAAGAAAGAAAAAGAAAGAAAGAGAAAAAGAGAAACACAGAAAGACTGAGTCAGTTGCTGGGAGGATCAGAGTTGCTTTTAGGGAGAATTTCCATTGGAGTTGGTCTGAAGGGGAGCAGAGGAACCATGAGAACTAGAATAAATCTGTCCTCCTAGGAACAGGTGAGAAAATGAGAGAGAGATGTTGCCTATGTGACTCATAGGAAAAGGAGGGACAGCTTCATTCCCTGGTGCACAGAGAATTTATATGTTCTGCCTTCAGATATTATGGAAGACATTTCTTACAATGACCTCCCCTTGTCTTTCGTTTGAGTGGATTTTTGTTTGCTACACTCCAATATGCAGTAAGCAGGAGCGATGTGTTCCATTTCAGACACTCAGACTCTGAGGGGCTTGTGCACAGAAATGGGCAGCAGTTGGCTAAAATACTCAAGTACCAGGAGGGATTTTACAATTAGAGGTGAAGACGGGAGTATCGGTTCTGGATTCCAACTCTCCTGTTTCTCTCAATTCTAAGCCAGTTCTATTGTTTGTTTGTTTGTTTGTTTGTTTTCCTTCCTTTTTGACAGGTTTTATCTGTAATGAGAAAGCCTCCGAGGCATGGGGCTGTTCTTTTGACTAATCATGTGAAAAAATGGAATAATAACCTGCTCAGCCAGTGTTTCAGGACCATTATACACATTGAATGTCATCAGAGGGCTTAGGAGAGAGAAAAGGCCGGCACGCATCGATGGTTATATCCTCATCTCCCACTCACAGCAGGCAGGGAAGAGGAAAGAAGTCTAAGGAGGGCAGAGGACTCTAGAGCAGGTGGAGACCCAGGTACAGAGAGCACCTTCCATGTTCTTCCACTCCACTCAGCACACAGCTGGTATTTTCAACACTCACAAGAGCATCTTGGAAAGTATTACTACTACTGCTTTGCAGATGAGGATACTGAGACAGAGTGGTACTAAGTAGATACCACTGGAATTAGTTGTCTTTCTCCTATTAACTCACACTTCTCCAGTGTGCAAGCAACTGTCTGCATTTAGTAGGTTCGTGTTGGAAGAGGTAACTGAGAAACTCTTGGCTTACTCCATACATCTAGAGCAACATTGATGGCAAGCCCTGGTAATCAACAAGCACCCGTGAGCAGGAGGAGGAGGGAAAAAAAGCTACTTTCAACATGTTTTTACATTTTCTGGATAATAGTCCAGACCAGGATGACCAAGAAAACCTATTTCCCTCCTACACCTCTTCTTTAACCTCCGTGCTCTCTACTCTGAGTCAATGGCGTGAGGAAGATGGGAGATCTTGAGGAACTGAGGCCTTTGATCTCAGGGAGAGACACAGGGTTGAAGGCAGTAGAGAGAGAAAGAGGAAAGGGAGCACAAAGCACATTTGCAAGAGGCCCTCATTAAAGGCGCTGCACGTCCCTGCAAGCCCTGGCTGCTCAGACCTCTCACGTCCAGGTCTAAGGCCATTGTCCTCAGTTCCCTGGGCTCTTGCCTTGATGGTAGTGGACCCTGTTCTGAGATGACAAGGGCCTGTTCAGAAAACCTTGACTTCTCTAAATGTCTATTCATTAAAAAAAAAAAAAATGGGAAAATAATACCTTTCAGGACTGCTAAATGAGGAAATGAAATAATAATGTAAAAAATTTGTGCCAACTGGAAAAAAAAAAAAAAAAAAAAACACAGCCTCACTTGGCTATTGCCTGAGTATTGGCTCTGTGCAAGCTGACAGTCTCCCCAATCAATGACAATTTCATTCATTATCATCATTATTTTTTTAATTTGAACAGAGAGAAAGAGAAAGTGAGAAAGCAAGCTGCCAGGTCCAGGACTCAGACCATGGTCAGCCATATGGGAGTCCAGCACCTTAACCACCACGTCACCTGGGGGCCCCCCAAGTTGAGTATCTCTTACCTAAACAGATTGGGACTAGAAGTGTTTTAGATTTTGGAATCTTTTGAATTTCAGAATATTTTCATATAATACAAAATGAGATAATCTGGGAGATGGGACCCACATCTAAAAATAAAATTCATTTAATTTAGTTAGGTTTTATATATATCTTATAACCATAGTCTCAAGATGTTTGTACACAGTATTTTGTACTTGAAGTCTTTGACTGTGACTCATCATATGAAGACATCCCCTAACAGCATGTCAGCTCTTACAAAGTTCCAGATTTTAGAGCATTCAGATTTTCAGATCAGTAACACTCAACATGTAGTATATTTAAGGACAAGCATTTGCTTGTTAGCCACTAAAGACATTATTTATTATGAGTGATAGATGCAAGGATCACTTGGGTGGGCTGGGCACAAAATGTTTCAGAAGTTTCCATGTTTTCTTTGCCAGATCTTACTGACAATTACCCTCAGGGTTTTTTGCATCATATTCCTGTGTGTGGTTCTCTAAGTTTATAGCTTTCCTGTGTTTCAATGTAACTTATATATTTAAATATTATACCACATTATATCCACTATAGGAACATAACGGAAATGTTTTCTACAGCAATGCCTCAATTCAGGACAGTCAAGTTAAAGTAACAACTATGAAACTTAAAACGAAAACAAAGACTTCACCAAGTTCATATTTTATAGGATATTATTCACTGAATAAATTCTACCTTTGTGACTACTGCTAATAACCCTGGGAAATTTATGACAGAGACATCTTTTTTCTTAAGAGTGCATACTTGAAAGATGTATAATATCATTTCAAAACTTTTCCAGTACAAAGATCAGAAATTTTAACCTGTATCTTATGTTAATATATTTATCATCTGCTAAAAAAAAATGAACTTCCAGGAAAACAAAAAGGTTTAAATTATAAATACATTTAAACATAATATCTCTTTAAAAGTAAAAAGGAAAGGATATTATCATTTAGCTTTAAAATATCTTAAAGTTGGCACCCCCACCTCTGCTTCAGTACTCTTTGGTCAATGAATCCATTATCCAGGTTTTCAGTTGGATAGAGAAATGGCAACTGCTCCCTGTGTCTGGCTAGACTGGAGGACTGTTCATCTCTGAAACCAAGAAAGAAAAGGTGGGTCAGGGCTAATTCGACAGGAGCCATGAACATTGGTCTCACAGGAACTCTAAGGGTAAGGATCAGCCCACATTATAGTCACATAGTATGTGATCTATATTCACATTAGACCAACGACTACAGAACGGAAAGAAGGACCCTCTGGAGTCATCTCACCCAGTGCTAGGAGATATGTTGATGCCAGTTCAAGACGCTGTTTCCACCAATTATTTTGTTTGTTTGTTTGTTTGTTTTAAACAAGGCATCGTTGTCACCATCCTCTTGCCTTAGCTTTCTGAGAAGGTGGACTACAGACACATGCCACTACACAGAGACTTTAGGTTGGGCCAGGAATTGAACCAAGTCTTCCCACATGGTCTCAGTGTGTGGAGCACTGCAGCTGGGCCCGATCTGTTGTTTTTTGTTGACAGAGGGCACATGACAGAGAGGCTCGCTAGAGAGAGACAGTGAAACAGGGAGAGGGAGGGAGAAAGCGTCTCCGTGGGGCATGGTCATGCCACCACCCCTTCTCCTCCATTTCTCTATCCCTTTGATTTGGGGCATGCATGTACACTTGGCATGTCTCTCAAGCCTCCAGAACCAGGATTCTAACTGCAATCAGCTGGGAGGGATCAGGCTCCCTTAACCACTAGGTTACGGGGTTAGCCCTCTGTTGTATTGTTAAATGATGTTAAGATAATCCTTTCCTTTATAAAATGATGGTGATAACATTTTTTTTTTTTTTTAGTTAAAAATCTTTATTTTTTTTGGCATCTACTTCCTGTCATTTGGGGGATAATTGTATTTTCTGTAAAATCTCATGATCTTAAACCACACTCCACAAACTCCCTCATTTTCTAAGTGATGCAACTGAAGTCCAGAAAGGAAAATAACACAAGCAGGGCCAGGACTTAATTCAGTTTTCCAACTTCCTGTCCAGTGACTTTTCTATCAGCTTCAGCGAAAATAATAACCGAAGAGCAACTGCAAATACTCTGCCTTATTGCATGTTGTCATTTGATTAGGTCTGAATACGATGCCAAATATCCTGCCAAGATGTATCCTACAAAGCCTTTTTGAATAACATACCATGTAACCATTAGCCATTAAATGGAATTTGCAATCAAGTTAAAACTCGTCTACCATTTCTGATCTATATTTTTACAGTATAATACCATTATACTCTTTAGAAGGGACCTTAGAATTTAGCTTCATTTAATCTACCCACATAATTTTTTTTTTTTTTTTGGAGAGGTGTTTGCTATAGGACACGTGTGCTCGCCAGAAAGACAGAGAGAGACAGAGAGACAGAAAGCAAGAAATCACCCCCCAGGGGGATGACCACACCACAATCCCTTCTCCTTCATCCGCCTCTCAGGATATTGGGCAAGCACCCACATGTGCCCGGCGTGAGTTTAAGCCAGTGGGTCTGGGACTTGAACTATGGTCGACGACATGGAAGTCCAGCGGCATAGCCATTATGCCCACTGCTGGCCCCTCTCCTCACATAATTTTACAACTGAAAGGTCTAACACTAAAAACCATCAAACAAATCCCTAGGGTTAGATGACTAGTTAATATTATAAAGAACGTTTAAAATTTATTTTTAAATTATTAATTTAATTTAATTTATTATTATTTTTTTAAAGTTCACTATAGGGAATATGTACTGGCCAGAGAGACAAAGAGAAGGAAAGTGAGAAAGCAAGAAATTTTAACCTGTATCTTATGAAATTTTAACCTGTATCTTATGTTTATATATTTATCATCTGCTTAAAAAAAATGAACTTCCAGGAAAACAAAAAGGTTTAAATTATAAATACATGTAAACATAATATCTCTTTAAAAGTAAAAAGGAAAGGATATTATCATTTAGCTTTAAAATATCTTAAAGTTGGCACCCGCACCTCTGCTTCAGTACAGTGGCCCAGAACTTGAACCACAGTCTGCCATGTGAGAATCCAGCATCTTAACTGCCATGCTACTTGCTGGCCCCTCATAAAGAATTTTAAATGAACTGTTTTGATACCTAGCTTCAGGGTTCTTTTTGATATCAAGTTTCCTATTTTTATTTGGCATTTCTAAAAGGATTTAATGAAATAGTTTATTCTCGTGCCTCTCTTTGCTATCATTTCCAATTAACAATATATTTGTCAAGTGACAATGTATTTGACAAATATACTTGACACTAAGCAAATATAACCAGATATAAGTGATAAGCATTTTCTTCTCAGAGGCAATTATGATTTTGCAACAGAACAATGTAACCTAAATACAAGACAGTCCAATCCTTAAAGTGAGTCAGCTGCTTCCTGGGTAGAGTTAAAAGCTCCCATTTATAAACAATCAGTATCCCCTGTCTGGACAACATTTAAAACTAGCTTCTTTTTTCCTCCTAAGCCACCGGGTCCAGGACTCCAACCGCAGTTGATTACATGGGAGTCCAGCGACATAGCCATTACGCTAACCAGCTTTCTGAACCAGGTTAACAAAGCATCATATCTAACATAGGACTAATTAGGTCTGGGAGAGAGAGAAGAGATTTGCTTAAGATCAAGAGACTCCTAACATCCTGTGAATTAACAAGGGGTTGGGTATCATATTACTTGCCACAATGAACAGAAGAAATAGGAATGGCAACATTTCGCATAACCAGTCCAAGTCAGTGACAGAACCAGGAGGGAAGCCCAGACCTCCTGGCTGTCCAGCCAGTTCTCGTTTACTAGAGATCATCATAAACTGATTTGCAGTGAAAAGAAAGCTGCCTGTTTCTTCTAAACTGTGCCTTCAGCAATATCAGGGTTCTCTTGGTCATCTGATGGGACTTACAGCTGAAAACTCATACTCATCCTAAAACACCTGGAAATTATTTCAAGTTCTCTTTGAGGTTTTCCTGCCCCTTTTTTGCTGGAAAGGAGTAAAAGCTTGTAATGGGATCTTTATCAAAAGTACCATGTCTGACAGTGTTTTTTATGTAGTTATAGCAATACAATTTTAGGAGAAATCCTTCCAATAAATCAGTTGGTAGAATTTCCAGGCCAACCATAGATCATTCCTTGAAGGTTACCTGCACCCCTCCAATGTCCCAAATAGCTAGGTATTTTAGACATCAAATCACTTAGGTCTCTCTCTAACACTATATTGCTTATCAAGGAGAAGCAAGAAATCTGTGTGATTAAAGATCTAATCTCAAAAGGAAAGTAAAAAAATAGAATAAATTTCATCACACATTATTATCTTTGGAAATTAATAAGTAATTGGTCTGCAGTAAATAATTACTTAATCTTAGAAGTATTACAAATAGTCTTGCCTGTGGAAAAATCAAATGATACTGGGGAATAGATTTATAAAACAAAATCTTTACTTTCATAAATTCTGTTATTATTCTTTTTATTTAAAAGCCCATGATAAAAAAGCAAACTAATAAAATCATCTCTGAACCTCAGGGCTTTATTTGCCACCATAAATTCTTCTTCATTTTTGTAAAATGCTGTCATAGCATTCATTATTCTAAAGATACCTTAAATAATTGAAAACGACTCATTGTAAAAGTATTTAGCAAATTATATTGTGCTAGTCTCTAGCGAATGCATAAATTAGGTACTATAAGAAATCTTGGGCAAATAAATAAATACAGAAATAAATAAGTAGTTTTAGGAAAAGCAAAGGAACAGCTAAAGATGATTTTCCCAAATCCTAATTTAAAACCTGAGTTACAGGAGTCTGTTTCCATTTTTATTACATGTACATTTTGACCACTTGTTCCACAGCATTTTATATACTCCTTGCCTATAAAACTCCCTAATTACTGGAATCAATGTTTAGAAAGTGGTGAATAGAATAAAATGCATCTTGATTCATGAAAGTTTGCAAAGCATTTCCCTTGCTCAAATAGTAGAAATAATTCTACACACAATCTAGCTGAAAAAGGTCACAATTTTCAACAAGCCTTGACCTTCAAACATCAGGCGATATCTGTTCTTAGGAAAGCTGGAATCAAAAACAAGGCCACTCATGAATGAACTCACTCAGAGGGTGCTTCTGTGTGCAGGACCGGGGCTGCCTCTCTGGGGCTTCCAGGTGACTTCGACCCTTGACTATTCTGCTTATATTTTTTAATTAAATCCATCAGAACAGCCTGATGCCCAATTTTCTTTACCAGCTGTTGAACCATCCGATCATTAAGTGCTAGAAGAGCAGCCCCACTTACTTCTTCCTCTGGAAAAAATGATAAATATTATTTCATATGGCTTCTTGCAGACCACTGTACAATGCAGACATTCTGATCAGGTAAAATGATTTCTGGTCTTAAAAGAATCATTTAAACTTATCCTCTGTGGTTGTGACAGGATCTATATTCTTATAAATCATTACAAGAGGTCTTCTGAAAGTTCATAAAAATGTATATTATGAAAAAACCGTGCATAGATTTTTAAAAATTTTGAACGAAATTGAATTCACATTTTAATTCCATTTCCATGACCTTTTTCAATTCTTTCGAAGAACTCTGAGGATTACATAATTCTAAATCAATATCTACTCTTTAAGAAGTACTAAAACATGGAGAAAATGAAAACTGTTTATTTCCACATTAATGCCCTTCCACAATCTAGCTGAAAAAGGTCACAATTTTCAACAAGCCTTGACCTTCAAACATCAGGCGATATCTGTTCTTAGGAAAGCTGGAATCAAAAACAAGGCCACTCATGAATGAACTCACTCAGAGGGTGCTTCTGTGTGCAGGACCGGGGCTGCCTCTCTGGGGCTTCCAGGTGACTTCGACCCTTGACTATTCTGCTTATATTTTTTAATTAAATCCATCAGAACAGCCTGATGCCCAATTTTCTTTACCAGCTGTTGAACCATCCGATCATTAAGTGCTAGAAGAGCAGCCCCACTTACTTCTTCCTCTGGAAAAAATGATAAATATTATTTCATATGGCTTCTTGCAGACCACTGTACAATGCAGACATTCTGATCAGGTAAAATGATTTCTGGTCTTAAAAGAATCATTTAAACTTATCCTCTGTGGTTGTGACAGGATCTATATTCTTATAAATCATTACAAGAGGTCTTCTGAAAGTTCATAAAAAATGTATATTATGAAAAAACCGTGCATAGATTTTTAAAAATTTTGAACGAAATTGAATTCACATTTTAATTCCATTTCCATGACCTTTTTCAATTCTTTCGAAGAACTCTGAGGATTACATAATTCTAAATCAATATCTACTCTTTAAGAAGTACTAAAACATGGAGAAAATGAAAACTGTTTATTTCCACATTAATGCCCTTCCCCATTCTAATTCTAAGGGGGATTGTTTATATAAGGAGAAAAAAATCTTGAGAAATTATTCTTAGTAATCCTTCCTAGACACTATTCAATACTTGTAAATCCAACACTGCACAAAACACATACTGCATGCTACAAGGACAAAAGCAATATACAATGTATATATCAAATATGTATTTTAAATAGCTGTTAGACTTTGAGTTCCTGAAATACATTTATCCATGGTTAAATGGAAACTGCTACAACCTATAAAGAAATAAAAAGTTGTCTACTGCAGCTACTCCACATCCACATTTACAAGCACACAGACATTTAACAACAAAAGTTATTTTCAAAGCAGAGGACACATAGAGTACTAGACTGCTTAGTTAACATTTTTTTGGAAGTGTAAAGAGCTCACCTTGAAACCTGTGCACTAGCTCTCCTAAGTTTTTCTCCATCAACCAACTGCAGACCTGGTCAACTGACCAAGTTTCCATCGCTGTCTTGTGTAAATACACCTGTAGAATAAAAAGTCAGGGAAGGTTTAGGTTCTCTTTCTGACTGTTCTTTACTTAAACAAAAACAAAAACAAACCAGCTCAGTCCTCTTTTAGGTTCTTAATGTTAACTTTTAAAAAAATTACTGTTTTTATAATACACAAAGGAAAGTTGCTAATAAACATTCATTTAAAAAATGAGATCTATTTTAGCCAATTTCCTAATCTCAGTTTTTAAATTTCTTCACCTTCTCTTGCTGTTTTTCCACAGGCATCCCTCAGCTTTACTAACAGACAGCCAAAGATGTACAATGGTACCCAATCCTGTACCATTAACACCCAGGTTTCTTCACAAAGAAAAGAAAGGTGTGAAATTCACCACGACCAGGCTCATCAGGAAGTGGTTGACATTTACAAAAGAGGTAGGCACAGAGGAAAAAAGTATAGATCAGATAAAAGCTTGACAAAGATACTTAGTAGACCAAGTCTGGTTAACCCCTTGCTGCTCCGAGCTAGGAGAGAGAACTAGTAACTTCTTACTGCTTTGGTTTAGAAAAAGAAAGGTGTAGGAACCAAATTTCTCAGGATGATCTGAATGTTTCTTTCCTTCTTTCCAATGATTCTCTTACATATTCTATGCCATTCTAGAACTTTATTGAACACCTTTATGATTGGTAAGATAATTAGGATAAACTAGCATGTTAATTGAAAACTTTTTGATTTAGTTGGGCAAATTCAAAATTGGGAAGTAAGTATGTTAGTTGTTTAAGTGAGAGGAGCATAGAAAGAATTTGCAGGATATATTCTTTAGCTCTTGAGTTATTTCTGCATGTCACTATTCTGCAATCACTTAGAAAACTTAAAACAACATGCCGGTTTCGATTTTCCCTATTTTTGCCTTAGGTGGCTGGTTTCTTGTTTTTATAATTAAGTCCAAAGAATTTCTAATGGGCTAGGGGGAGAGGATCACTGAAAGAAACTTTAAATATTTTAATCTGCTAACATGACTTTCAGTTTTAACATTCAATCTAAATGATATAGATTTTCTTGTATAGTAACATTCTGATGATTCTATAAAGACAGAGGAAACAGCTATTTTTGGAAAAAAAATGGTATCATAAGGAAATACTGTATGTATCATGTCATGTAGTTAAATTTTATGGTTAGAAATTTTAAAAATAAATATCGTATTTTTTATTTCTGTGTGTTTACAGAAGTTACAATTACCAACATTACAGAATGGTGGAAAAGGAAAAGATGTTTACCTTTCATGCTTGACAATCTGAAAAGATAACAACCTTCAAAAATAATTTCCTAGAAAACCGGTACACTTCAAAGTAAAAAGCCACATACTCAAGTATTCGCAAACACTGAGCAGAGAAATTGAAAACAAGGGTTAAATATAGAAGACCATCTTTCTGAATTACAGCAATGGATTTAATTTGCTATGACAAACAGTAGCCACAGAACTCCTCCCTTAGGCTAAGCAGCAATAGCAGGGTGTGAAAAGTCATTATTTGCGAGACTCTGGTGTAAATTAAAAATCACACCTTTCTGTCACACTTCTGGCTTCCTTGTGAAGAGTAGGACTTAGAAAAAATAGAAAAGAAAGGAAAAAAAGAAAACAATTCTTTAAACTCCACAATGAAAAGGTATGCAGAGCAGAAGATACAGCCTTGCAGCCATCAATGGGTAAAAAGAAATTTGAAAATAAAATGAGTACTTGGAAATGCTCACATATTTTTTTAGTGTACATATTTTTACTCCAATTCTGTTTCTGGGAAAAACAAAATAGACATCAAATTATAACTTCATACAAACATAATAAAATTTAAAAACATATGATTTTTGTCCATTAGTTTTTCTGAATATTCAAGAAAAAATAGTAGCATTGCCTAGACAATGTAACATCTTTAAGTAGAAACCTTACAACTTCCTTTCACATAAATAATGGATGTATTATTTAGGATCTTCTATACCAGGAAGGAATATATAACATGTTAAATTGAAAAAGATGTGTCTTGTACCTTAATTGCAAGTCTCAAAGACATCTCAAAAGATTTCAAAATGCAAGGGAAAGTTTTAATCTCTAAATAGTTTAAAATATAACAATAGCAAGAAAAAAGAATTAATAATAACATGTCAATGCTCCAATCAAACAATCTTCATGGCTTGATTAAATCATACTTCAATGAAAGAAATTTATAATAATTAAAGAGCTTTATCTAATTAAAACTAGAGAAGTAAAATGTAAGGCACCCACAATATACATAAGTTATATTTTTAAATTCTGTTAAAACTAAAGGAAGATAATGTATAAACTTTTGTGACTGATTTATAATCTTCAGAAGCAATGTGACATATAAAAACATCAGCCATGAAGAAGCAATTTTAAAGAATATATAAATGCATTTGTCACTCTACTTTCTGTTTTCATTTTTATTTTCCCGAAGTTCAAAAGCTGAGTCAACAAAATGGTTCCTAAAAGCTTTGCTGGCAACATATACCCTCATGGATTAATACTTCATCCTGCCCTGGTAAAGGTATCTGAAGTACCATGGCTGTATTTCAACAGACGAGCCATTGAGCAAACATTAGGGTCTGTTGGCAAAAAGCGAGGAAAATGGAGAATAGGGATGTGACTGTGGCATAGAGAAATGTCTGACCAATTCTATTGGGGTAGCGGCTTTGCTATGTCAAGAGACAAAGGTATCAAGATCTTGCAATGGAGCAAAATCTCCCATTCACTTGGGCTGATGTTCATTCCAAACATTTTCAGAGCAGGTAGAATGAAAACTGGAGCAGTCAACTAAAATATTTTGTATCTGCTCATCGTCAAGATGTCTACCACCAGGATAGCCTGGACCTAGGTAAGTGGTGATATGCAAAGAAGTCAGAAATCCCACCAGGAAAATAAGACACCTAGAAAAGTAGACTCTAACACAGAGCCAGTTATGATTAGGTACTTTAGAAAGAACTGGGCTTTTCCACAGTTCCTGAAAATTAATGAACCTTGATTTGGAATCTGAATGATACAGTTTAGATAGAGAACAAGCTGGAGCAAGAGGGATCAATATAACAAACTAAAAGCAAAAAGTCAGAAAAAGACAAACTATGTTTTGAGACCCAAAAGTAGACCACACTGGAATGGTGACCTCATAGTAGAGAATATCGAAAGACATTGAAGATCATCAAAGAGCTTGGAATATGGAGCTAAGAGTCTTAAGACACAACATATGCTTAAACTTGGGAGAATCGTTGAATTGATAGTATGCTCCATGTTTTATTTGCATAGCTGAGTCGGAAAAACTACAGGAAAATATTCTTTCTTGAAGTAAATTGTGTATGAGATGGAAGAGTTTAGCCTTTATCAAATGTCATATTCATGCCAATTTTCCTTCACTTTAGAAAACATAGATGTTTATATTCATCTCTCAAGCACTTAGGGAAACAGAACTTTTCATTTTGTCCAATCATCATGTGAGATGTACAAGCAAGCTGACACCAAGCAGGTGCAATGTACCAAAAGGGGCTGTCAGCAGCCATTAAGTGGAACCATATGAAACGGCCATTTTTGTAAATACAAGAGTCTAAAATCAGTAGTTTCCATTTTTGCATTTACAAAGACACTAAAGAGCAATGTATATGATATAATTTTAACTAAATTTATAAACAAAATAATGATGAATCAGAGTCCGAAGTCTTTGGGGACTTCCGAGTCACAAACTCCTAGGTTCTTTGGCCATTGAGTCAAACTTATGGCTCATTCTTCCTTCTGCCTAGTGGGTTGTCAAAGCTTATGGATCAGAAACACAGATTACAATCCTCTGCATACTTTCCAGATATAAGAACTGTAAGCTGTGCTGTTAATCATCAAAGTATGTTTGAAGCAGGCTAGATCTCAGATAGCTCATGTTTGCTACTTTTGAAAGAGGAAGATTCTGAGAGTGTGACAAATACCCATATACATGCAAGTGTGTGTGTGTGTGTGTGTACACACATGCACACAGTGTGTATGTGCATTAACTTTGCATAAACTTAATTCTTTATTAGCTTTTTTAAACTCCAATCAAAATGATACTAATCAGAAAAACATTTGCCATAGTAACTTTAAGACAGATATGGTAGCCCATGTGTTAGTATTTAGGTGTTGAATCCAAGGTCAAGGACTCAGAGCTTTGTGTCTCAGAAAGCTCTAATGCCCTGGAGCTTTCATTTTCCTGGTTAATACATTCGTGATCCAAGATGCACAAACATTTGTTCAGTGCATACCAGGGTATGCACTGGCTTAATGTAATTCTTGTTATATAGCTCAATGAGTGTGTGATAGTGCACATGAGAATCATTTGGTTTATAGCTCTGAATGGTGGCAAGAACTTGTTATTAAAATATGATGGCTATTAAACTGTTTCTTAAGAACCACTCATGTGTTAGAACACTTGAGAGCTGATTTTTACATTCTGAGCTGGTAGTGTTCTAGTCTGTTATACTAAGCTTTGGTCTGACTCTGTAGATCTCTTTGGGAAGGTAAAGACATAAAGTAGTGGGTTTCCCTAACGCAGTAGGATCCAAACCATGGATGGGAGGTATGGGGACAAAATAGCACGGGACCATGTAGTTCTCCTTCAAGATGAGCACAGGAGAGTGACAGATGCTCATGCTTCGGCCAGCCCCGAATTCCTCTGAAGACAGGACTTGTGGTTCAAACCTTTTGTTGAGACAGCACCACTTTTTTTTTTTTTTTTAAGGACATTTGTTCCTTTCATGAGCACAAGAGAGAAACAGAGAGAGACAGAGACAGCGCCCCCAGGAAGTCACAAAGCTACCATCCACCCTGAGCTCCAGCCGGCTCCAGACATGGGCACCTACCTGCATGCCCAGTGTACTCAGTGAGGGCCCGAAATCTGAACCTGGAACTCTCCCATGTGGGTCAGCCTTGCAGAGTATCACACCCTTCTGCTATTCTTTTTTAAAAACTTGGCCAAAAAAGCAAAATTGGTACCAATTGCTAGGCTATTAAGTAGTCTAAATGTGTGTGTTTTTCACATACACATATGAGAGAAAGAGAGAGAATGCAGGACCCAATAAGTGATCAAGCAAGCATAGGGAAGAGAGAAAGGAGGAGAGGAAAAGGTTATTGTGAATGATAACACATAAATGGTAAGATAATCATATTGGAATAAAAACTGTAAAAATTGCAATAAAATATATCTTTTCCTCTTCATATTTTTTTAATAAAAAACTATAGTTTAAAGATTCTCCACATTTCTGTCTTTTCTCTTATCCTATTCACTTCTGCTATCCTTTAATTGCAACTGGAAACAACTGCGGCATACC